TTTAATAAAAGTGAATGATAGCCATGATAAAACACCTCACAGGCAACTTTTCAGTTTTATCAGTGGGTTTTACTGCATGGAATGTAATCTTTATTTGACAGAGTGTGTTGAAAGAGGAAAGAAAAAAAAGAGAGAGGGTTGGTAAAGCAACAGGTGCACCAAACATTTTCCCTTAACATCTTAACGTCTTTTTAAACATTTATTAAACATTGCCTCAAAGTATAACATCTCAACATCATCCTAAACCAAAAAGGAAGCAAAAGCAAACAGTTCCACTGCTTTATAAAATCAGCATTGATTACAGAAACACTGTTGAGAGTTTGTTAAACAGTCTTTATCACACATCAGTTTCAAGGCATTAAGTAAGTTGACAATGTTTAGATGTAAACAAAGTAATATATGACTATGCAAAACGCTGAAACAGGGTTTAGTATCCTTGTGTGGTCACTATTGAATTTTTTGGTAGGTATTCAAAAGCTTTAGGTGGCTTAGGTCAACACTAATCAGGTCAGATGGCTTACCGTTGCTCAAAAGTGAAGCTGGACAAAGAGGGAAATTCCTGGCTAACTCGTGGCCTGGCTAGTTGAGGAAGTGCTTTATGTCTTAGAATTGACCCTTCGCTAAGCCACACCCAAAAACCGCCATACACCAATCATGGCTTAGCAACCGTAGCTACGCGCAGGAGGTCTGTCAAGCTTTCGAGCAAGAGAAACAAGCCAAAGCGCTGTGTATATGGATTGTGCAAATCTGACACCCGGTATCCTAAAAGTTTGAACGGGGCGATGGAATTTTTTCCCTTTTTAAAACCTAAAACAAAAAGGAGAGAAATGCCAGCGTGGATCAAGCTCTGTGAGGAGCGCTAAAGGAGCAGAGTTAAGTTGGTTTTGTTTTGATATTTCTGACACATTCAGTGATAGACCGACGACAGTACTCACACACATCTTACCCTAAAAAGATCTTAACCGTGTTTCCTACAAAAATCGAAGCAGGTTATGTTTCACAGCTGTTTTTCTTTTCTTTTTTTCGCTTGATATTATAAGCACTGCTCCATTTAATCCCTCGCCATAGTAGTCATACTAATAATAATCAAATTTCCATCTGTTTCAAGCTACGAATATTTGAAATTACATACCAACAGAACAAAACAGAGATGTGATCACAATCTGAGCACTTGCTATCAATATACTTCACCCACAGCTGTTTTTCAGTCATGTATAACTGTTGTGCCCATGTCAGAGCTACAATCCTCTGATGTTTTCGTCCGTCTTTTGGAGATTTCGTCATTGTTGCAGCTTAATGTCTGCTTTTATATTTGGTGCCTGATTAATATTTGCTGGTAGGGAAAATCTATTTGTTCACCTCTGCTATTTATACTTTGATTTGCATTCCAATTTATTTATTTCTTCCACTTAACTGCAAATTAGAATAGAAATAGTTTAAAAAGCACACAAACATTCTGACAGATATAGGTACTGTACATTTTTATGGGTCAATGATGCTAATATTTGGCACAAATCCATCAATTTCCCCTTTCTGACTGTTCTTTTTGTGAATGAATTATGTAGAAGCACTGTCCATGCGTGTTTCCCCGTCGGTTAGTAACGCTATAATTCATTGCACAACAATTAATCTTTCAGGCTTTTTGGTTAAAAATAGAGAAATCACGGTTTAATTAATTATTATTTGATTATTTTTTAATTTCACCTCCTGCTGCGCATGAACTAAGCTGCTGAATGGTCAGCGTATGAGGCAGCTAGGCTAAGCTAGCTTCAATTTGGATGAAATTATTTCCTAATCGTTGCCTATTATGTAGTGAAAATACCCCATAATGCATACTGCAGTCCTTTTTTGTCTGGCTTATTCAGATATCTCACCTGTTCACCAAAAATGACTAATTATATCCCTGGCAATGTCTGACACTGGTGCATACATATTAATAGACGTGCCGGGCACGAAAGCTTAACAGGCATAGCAACAGTAACTAAGGAGGGCCGGACTTAGCAAAGTGTCAATTCAGGCAGTAGAGTATATCACATAACGCTGGTGTGAAGGAGAACGTATAGATTGATAAAAAAATGCTAAAGAAAGCGCAAGTATAGGCCAGGTATTGGTTCCTCCAGGCCTGTAAGGGGCAGTAGTTTGAAAATGCATCCTTCTTATTGTAGTGATGTAAGCTAAAGGCAGATAAGGACTGTGTAAAACACTGAAATTAATCACCTTAAAAGTACAGATCATTTCACAGATGAAGTCAAAAACAAAATGAAATCTGCACATAGATATCTAATTCACCTCCTAATAAATCTCTTAAAGTGGTCTTTTTTCTGTATTTTTTTAAATGTTAAATGTTCTCTGAGGTCCACGAATAATGCTAGAATTTTACATTAAAATATGTCATCATTTAGAATTAACAGGATATTTCTGTTTTTGACACTTTTGTTGATTCCTGAACCGCATTTAAGACTTGAAATTAACCAGTTACTGCTTTATATGCATTAGTATTTTGTATATTAAATAATAAATGAACACTTATGTGATGTATGATGAAAACAATGGGGGTAATTTTGGTTAAAAAACATATTAAATCACACCAGATAATATGCAACAAAGCAATATTAATACAAAATTAATGCAAATGTGCAGTCATCTGCTGCGACATTACTGTTGTCCAGCACACATGCCTGCACTGCATTCTCTTTTCTTTTGAAGTCAAACAAATCATTTTGCTAAATAAACTAAATAAACCAAAAAATGTCTTTCTGTACTTACTTTTTACACCTGATATTAAGATGCATTTTTGCATGATGCAAACTGGGAAATGCTTTGAGGTTGACCACTTACAGAGGTAGATGATAAAAACATTCAACCAGATGGTTTTTGTACTGCTTATGTGGATAGACAACCAAAAAAAAATTAATATCAGGTTTAAATTGGGCCAAACTGAGACAAAAATAATAATAATAATAGTAATATAATGTCCTCTTAAGAAAAAAAACTGATTTGTCAATTCCTGACCTCTTTATCCCTTTAACTGCCTGCTTTACCAAATAGTTGACCATATTTTGACTGTTTTAAATAATCACTGTTAAAGTCATTTAAATAATGACTGTTTTAAATAATGGTTTACACTACACAGCATTGTTGGTTTACAAAAACAAAAAAAAAATTAAATAATCAAACAAACTAGTACACTTGATTTTGGTTTTATTGTAAAAAACAAACAAACAAGAACTGTTTTTCCTGGTTGGGCAGTAAGAAATTTAAATTAAACATCTATTTAGTTCTTCAAACATGTACAGTTGCAATCAGAATTATTAGCCCCCCTTTGAATTTTTGTTTCTTTTTAAATATTTCCCAAATGATGTTTAACAGAGCAAGGACATTTTCACAGTATGTCTGATAATATTTTTTCTTCTGGAGAAAATCGTATTTGTTTTAATTCGGCTACAATAAAAGCAGTTTTTTTTATTAAAAAAAAAAAAAAACATTTTAAGGTCAACATTATTAGCCCCTTTAAGCTATATATTTTTTTCGATAGTCTACAGAACAAACCATCGTTATACTATAACTTGCCTAATTCCCCTAACCTGTTAACCTAATTAACCTAGTTAAGTTTTTAAATGTTACTTTAAGCTGTATAGAAGTGTCTTGAAAAATATCTAGTCAAATATTATTTACTGGGGCGAAGTGGTGACGCAGTAAGTAGTGCTGTCGCCTCACAGCAAGAAGCTCACTGGTTCGAGCCTCAGCCTGGTCGGCTTGGCTGGGTCAGTTGGCATTTATGTGTGTTTGGCATATTCTCCCTGCATTTGCGTGGGTTTCCGATTTTCCCCACAAGTCCAAATACATGCCCTACAGGTGAATTGGGTAGGCTAAATTGTCCGTAGTGTGGGTATGGGTGTTTCCCAGTGATGGGTTGCAGCTAAAAGGGCATCCGCTGTGTAAAAAGCATGTGCTGGATAAGTTGGCAGTTCATTCCACTGTGGGGACCGCAGATTAATAAAGGGACTAAGCCGAAAAGAAAATGAATTAATGAATGAATATTATTTACTGTCATCATGGCAAAAATAAATCAGTTATTAAAACTCTTATGTTTAAAAATGTGCTAAAAAATAAACAGGGGGCTAATCATTTTGAATTCAACTGTAGATGAAAACATATTTAACTAGATGTTTTTGTATTGCTCAAGTGGATAGACAACCAGCCACATTTAATATCAGGTGTAAATGGGGCCACACCAAGGCAACAAAAAAAGTAAGTAATAGTATAATGACCACTTAAGATCAAGAAACATTTTGATTTGTCAAGTCATGACCTATTTAACCCTTTAACTGGCTGCTCTACCAAATAGTTATATTTGGTAGAGCAGGCTGGAACTAATAGACCATATTTTGACTGTTTTAAATAATGACTGTTAAAGTCATTTAAATAATGACTGTTTTAAATAGGTTTACACACACAGCATTGATAGTTTACCAAAAAATCAACCAAACATAATCCTGTTGCACTTCTACAATTGATTTTGGTTTTATTGTTAAAAAAAAGTGTTAAATGAGAATCTTTTATGGCATACTTAAAAAAATCAAGATGCATTAGTATTCAAAAATGTTTGATTTAGATTTTTTTTATTAATCCTACACTTCATATTTTTATGATTTTCATAGTATTTGTAATAATTCGGTACTTTTACCATAAACCGACGTCTACCATTTGGTAGAGGCTGATATTTTAGAAATTATGGGATGTGAGTGTTAATCAGCGACATTAAGATTTAAAAAACCCAATTTAATGGGACAGTTAAAGGGTATAATTAAATATCTATTTAGTTCTTCAAACATGTAAACAGTCTGATTCTATGAATAGTATAATAATAATAATAAACCACTATTTTGTGAGACAGCTCTTGATTTAAGGGACAATGTGCGGATGGAGATTCTTTATGTGTAATCGGTCATGTTTTATAAAAACTGTTAAAAAATATGAAAATAGGAAATCTCACCACATTTGTGACATTTAGTCTTTTTAATACATGGTTAGCTCAAATTATTGGATTTCATTTATTTCGCCATTAAAAAAAGGCTCTGAACATTTTTTATTAAACTTCCTTTGGCAACAGATTGACGAGGACAGCGATGCAATAAAAATTGCATTTATTTTCTTTTTCTCAAATATGTCTTCCTCAGAAGTACTATAGGAAATATCAATGGAACCGTTAAGGGAAATCAAAACCACAATCGTTAAATTCCCTAATGCTCCCATCGCCAGTAATCATCGAGGGTTACCATGGCCACAAGAAGGGTAGGTTGGATAAAACGATTAGCTTTTTCTCCATTCAAAATATTCTCATTTACTCAATATACAAACGAATCAACACTGTCAAAAGGAACGAAATGCGAAGAACAAAAAATGACAAAGGTGCAATTTCTGGAATTGACCCATTTGTCGAAATTATGTCAGACAATAACTCAACATGGAAAGTCTGAACCATGAAGGTCAGGTCACTCCAGCCAGTAACATACAGTCTCCTCTTACATCAGGTGATGATGTCACGTCTCTTCCAGTAATATAACTCAGGTGGACCTGAAGCCTCAAGCTGGCACGAGGTGAGAATGTCAGTGATGTTTTTTTGGAGACATCACCCGAAATGTGATAATGAGAGTCGAGACAAAATCGTAACCAAGCAACGGAGATGTGTAACACTCAAGAGTTTGTGAGTCGAGTTCTCGGTTCTTAGTCCTGCTGTCTTCAGCCTGAATCACAATCACGAAGCTTTGAAACACATACAGGCACACAGCTGGAGTCCATCTGCCGGGGTTAAAAGATAAAAACACAAACCGCTGTAATGTGCATGTGCGTGTTAAGTGTGTATAAGTTTGGGATTGTGTGTCTACAGCAAGTAAGCAGTTTATCATGGCGTACGCAGTACTTCAAAAGCCCAGGAAGAGATGAAGAAGCCCTCAAATCATCACGATGAAGGACTTCAGCACGACGCAGAGGGGTTTTTCTGGGAGCGCTTAACTTTGACCAGCGACCTCTTGGAAGAGTCTCGAACTGAAACAGTCCATCATTTGTCTACACCTCCTCCACATGCGATTCCTGCAGCTCGCATAAAAATGTTTAAAAAAAACAATCCTCAAAAACAAACAAGCTGGTACTGAGGAGTTGGGATAGGAAGCTGATGAAGTGGAAGGAATGAAAAACTGTTTCTTTGATGCACAATAAATAAATCAGATGGAGGTCTGAGTGCAGAAAAGACAAACATTTACAGTCGGGTGAAATGAGAAAAACAAAACATAGAGGGGAGAATTCACTAAACGCTTCAGCTAGTTTTGCGTGTGGTACTCTCTGTGCCTCATTCACAAACCACAAACAATCCAGCTTAACAAATGCACAATTTAAGCTAAAATGTTTTTAAAAACGTACATTGCAGTGCAAAACTTCTTTTAAAGCAAATCTGCCGTATTACAGAAAAACATGAAACATTCTACTGGATCCAGCTGATGATGCTAAAAATGTTGGATCATTCATCATTGGATCAGGGCAGGAAGTGTTAATTCCATGGTTTTCCCTGGACCGCATTATGCCTAGTTCACACTAAAAGTGAAACGAAGCATTCACATGAGTAGATTACATACAAAGTCAATGCAAATGTGCAAAGGCGACTTTTCATCAGGTTTGGTGTGAATAGAGTATTAGAAGACACTAACCAAACCGATTAAAAAATTTGCAATAATGACTGTGAATTTAAATTTGTGAAATAAAGATCAAAGGATGGAGAAACTGAATGATTTGTAGATACAATGGGTTTCAAAAGCCTTTTCAACCGTTTGGATACTCTATTATAGTTCTAAGCGATTCTTTAGAGCAGTGGTCCTCAATCCCCAGGCCACGGTGCTCATTTGGTACCGGGCTGCACAAGAAATCATTAGCACTTCCGTTTAATTTATAATCCGAGTCTGAACGATCGTTTATTTTGAAAAATGACCGTATTCTCTTGCTTACGTCTTTAACCCACAAGTAGCAAAATAAGCTATTCATTGTAGTCATTGTAGTTTTGTTGAGAAAAAAGGCCCAGTAAAAGACCCAAACAACTGCCAAGGAATGGATCCGCAACCCAGGTGTCAACAAATCAGGTGAATCCAGCATGTCTGTGCAAGAAGATCAACTGCTGAAAATTTGCAAATGATGTTCGCATATCGCGTCTTTTCTAGAGTTTATGCAAGTTTGTTATTTCCAATGGAGATGTGCAGCTTGTGCGTACAAGCGGCGTGACGCACTTTCACCTTCCAGAAGCACACAAGCTGAATGAATGTCGCGAGCGCACTGCGAGTCACGTGACAAGATCTGACCAATTAGCCTTCTACTTTGTATGGAATATAAGAAAACACAGAACACCCAAACACAGCAGTGCTTTGTAATTTTTCTCCATAAATAAAACTTGTGTCAGAGTGACAGCAATGTCAACTTGTCATCCTCTGAGAAAACTGTTGATGGTCACCTAGCAACCTACGAACCCCCAGTCATGCGTTAACCGGTCCACGATGATAAAAAAAAGGTTGGGGACCACTGCTTTACAGTACAGTCCTTTACTTTAACAGATTGTGCTAGGTCACAATGCAGCCTAAAATGGAGTTCTTCTGAATGTACCTTTATTGTTGCCAGATTTCCTGTAGTGAATGTAGTGGTGGTAAAATAACCCGCACAGTGCAAATAAACAACGCAAACAGCAAGCACAATTAGAGTTCGTTTACATGACAACAATGTACTGAAAACGGATTTGTTTTTCTTTTGCACTTTTTTGAAGAGGAGTCAAATGATCCTCATTTTCAGATATGGGAAAATGACTAAATCAAAGTTGCACTACATCGGCCAGGCCAGTAGGTGGCAACTTGGTAAAGAAACACTATATGTCTGCATAAATATGGTCCTGTAATCCACCATAGCTGTTATGGCTATCAAGTACTCATGATGTTTTCAGTTTTTATTTCATGTAAACGCGCCTTTAGTGAATTTCCCCCTAAAGTATAAAATGTATGAAGTACTTATATTATTTATAGTTATTATTTTTCACTTAAAAGTCTCATTCTCTACTGTTTGGTTCTGAGGTTAAGCACAATAAATCCAACCATCAGAATGGACGTATAAACTCGTCTCGAACAGGTGTGTGACGTCCATTCACTTGTGCCGGAGCACATGTGAAGTCGTTAATCCAAACTCCGCCTCAGGTCGCACACAAAGACACACGTGTAAATAAACGCACACACGCTGCTATGACATAAAAAGCAGAATTCACCGCTTTTCTAGAAAGTACCATCAACTCAACTTCGGGTTCAAGTTCTAGTAACAGGCTCTAACATATAGAGTCGCTCGGACACACAGAGTGTGTGTGAGGTACTATAGAGTCAGCATGTGTTTTCTGTGTTTGTTGATCTCATACTTTATAGTAAATATTGGCAGGGCTCTGAGGGGGCATCTCTTGAACGATGTAGACAGGATGTCCATAATCGCCACTGACTTTTTCATAATGGGGGCAGTAGGCCGAGTCAGAGGTCCGCAAGGGAATGATGATGTCACTGGGTTCTGAGCCATTATTGTTGCCCCCACTGCTCCCTGTCGCCGTCCCACCAGAGCTGCCCCTCTTTGGAGTAAGAGAGGAGAGCGTGAGGGCAGGATGGTGCGTTTCGGAGTGCTTGGCTTTCCGACGTCGGTAGCAAACCACAGCAATCACAATGGCGATCAGTAGGATAAAGGCTCCCCCTGCACCGCCGGAGATCAGGGCAATGTTAGACGCAGACACGGCGCCACTTTCACTGGTTTCACCCCCTTTAGAGCCACTTTCAGTATCTGAAATGGAAAACAGCAGATAAATATGTGCTCGCACGGACAAGACGTACTCGCTTTCTTTCTGGAATTATCTCCTAAAACAAACATCCTGGTAATATTTAGATAATGTTCGATTTTAATCCTTAACTAGCTTTGATTTCAGCCAGCTTGTATTCCAAAATGCCTCATGTTTGCTGGTTAGTCAAATGTTTGCCTTATGGAGATCAACAGTGCGGTCTAAGCCTTTGAAAAATGAAAATAATGCAGTTCTAAGTACACTAGATGGTGCATTAATATGACAACAGATGCATATACATACGCGTGGAATCAAGTTTAATACATAAAGATATTTAAAAACAGACCTCATAGGGATTTTGACTGTTAAAAACGTGTATCATATTTTCTAAAATATAAGCCACATCTTTTATAATCTGAAGCTTGCTTTGATTTAAATTCCAGAGTGATTATATACTAAAATTACCATCAAGCCAGCAAAATATGAGTAAAGTGTAGTAAAGTGCACACACACATTTGGATTTATGCTGAATCATAGTATTTGTATCATGCATATTTACAATAAATTTGACATTTACAATACATTTTGTTAATAGTGAATGCCACTATAACTTTTTTATATACTTATATTTATAAATCATGTCTAAAATGTTTGTAAACATTTTGTTTTATTTATAGCTATGAGTAGCATACTATATTATAATCAATCCTAATGATTATATTATACAAAATATAATATGGTACTTGTTGTCTTTCTGAGCACATGGAAACAGAATCGTACATTTTTAAAGACAAGTTAACATATTAAATTATTAACAGTTATTTTATCTTTTATATAGAATTAATAACATTTTAATTATTCTTTATTTTTAACTTTTATTTTCTGTTTTATTTTGCTTAAATTTCATTTTAAAAACACTTAGTTTTAATCAACATTTATTTTACATGTTTGATTAAAACTTACAGTTTTTTATAAATTTATACTTTAATAAAAAAAATTGCTTTAGTAACAGTAAAAACGGTGTTCCAATTAACATATTTATTAAATTAAAAAATCAATAGACCACATAAAAATCAACTCCACCACATATATCAAGTGTAGCTGTCATATGATGTCTTCTAAAATTCTAAAATGCTAAAAGATGACAAGAATAATGCAGAGGAGCATTTGGCATCACGCAGCGTTGTCAAACACCATAACAAAACAATGCAAACAATTTTGGAAGTCCACAAAGTGCTTTAATATTTAATGAATCTGATGTTTATGACATAAAGAGCTACTGTGCTTACGAGAAGTAAGTTTGAGGTTGACCAGAGTCATATCCTTTATATAAATAGAAACAAATAGAAATATTTAATGAGAAAGAACTGTGACTGTTTACCGAGGTTTTGAATTAAATATAATGTTGTCCATTTTGATTCTAACACAGACTGATTGCTTTGCTTTATAACAGTGTCTCAATGTATTATCAGGTGCCAAATGTATTAATTTACACATGTCTGTAAATATTTTGTGACTCAAAGTGCCTGTTGTAACTGACTGATTTATGAAACAATCACAGTTCTTTCATGACAACTCGGAGAGATGGTAATGAATATGCATACAGTTAGGTCCATTAATATTTGGACCTAACTGAATGTTTGACCTTTTATTGGCTCATTTTAATTGGGATAATGAGGGAATAACACACACCCAGCCATGGAACACCTTAGAAGCCAATTGTCCAATTACTTTTGGACCCTTAACAAGTGGGAGGCACATATGCAAACGGTTGTAATTCTTACAGCGTTCACCTGATTTGGATGTATATACCCTCAAATTAAAGCTGTCAGCCTGCAGGTAAAGCACATCTTGTTTGTTTCATTGCAAATCGATTGGGTTGATGTACAGAACCAAAAATATTGGAATTGTGTCGATGTTCAAATATTTATGGACCTAACTCTTTGTCAATGTTGATTTGTTTGGCATAGATCTGCTTCACTGCTGCTGCTTTTATTATTGATGCAGTGCAGATCTATACACAGGTGGAGTTGGGGTTGAGGAGGGTATCTGAAAACATGCTGCAGATTGCTAAAGTACACAACACTGAGGTAATTAAATGTTGAGGAGCGATCTCATTGGCTGGTGACCAATCACCTGAAGTTGATGATGGGGTCGAAAGTAGTTTGGATAACAGAGACATATGGCAAAACTTTGTATTTTCATGCTTTACGGAATAAAACTTAAGAAAGTCTTACATCAGCTGCACCATGCCACGTCTTTTAGAATTATTTTCTATGAGGTTTCGTATAGCGGCACTGCAATTCGGCATCAGTTCATGCTGGTTAGCAACATATACAAAACAATTTTAAAAATGGGTCAGCACAGCACAGCATGATGCATCCAGTGTGTGACCCGCTTTAGTATGAATAAATCATCAGTAAATGTTAATTTATTATTACACCATTTTAAAATGGTGTCTCGCACTATTTCTAGTTGTTACCTGGGATTTTGCTGTTAGGTCGCCCTGGATCAGGCTTGGGCTTTGGGGGAAGGCCATATGCAGCTAGAAAAAAAAAAGATTGCATCATGAAAAATATCAAGCATATTTTGATGCATGGTTGAGTGATTTTGATTATGAACAGCAGTGAAAATGTGCTGATATTGAGTGTGTACATGTTCACCTGTTTTTCCTTATTGGAGAAAGGTCATAATTGGCTTTGGCTCAGGCATAAATTGATCGTCACAGCTAGATTTTTGGCCCTTACACTAATTTTAATGAGTTAACCTACGTTCTGTCAGTTTATTGAAATGCGTGAAATGTGACACAAGTGTGTCTATTTAAACTGTACATTTAAATACCCCTATATACATTTCTGGAGAGAGCAAAATATGTCCCAGGAGCTACGTTTTTGTTTTTGCAAATTCACAGGAGGCCGCTGTGTACAACTATTTGAGATCTCAAATATCTTCCGCGAGTGCCATTTGCGCCTGCTCTTCTCACATAAATCCAGAGGCTGCTGTCGACTAACTCACTGACTGACTGACCAACTGACCGATCCCCACACCGTCCCCCTTCCCTAAACCCAATCAGTAGTATTTTGAAAAGCACCGATTGACCCGCCCACCCCCTTCCCTAAACCTAACCACACCTTTTTAAAAAGCAATCCAGAAAATGAACAGGTCTTACCTGATTTTTATTACCTTTTCAGATTTTACCACATTCTCACCCGGTTATTTACTTGTTTATTTAATTTTTTGCCTTCTGTTTTTGTTTTTCCTGCTTTCAGGAACCGTTTTACACAAGACTCAAATGCTGTCACCGCAGGCAACTCTGCTCTGCATCTCAAGTCCACAGACATACGGGTCATGCTACCGGACAAACTGGTAACAGCGAAAAAGCAGTCCACATGCAGGTAAGCGGTCAGTTGTCTAGCGTTAAAGGAACGGCATCCTGTAGCGTTCGTTTTAAAGATGATATGCAGCCATAAGTAGCTCTGGCTACATAATTCTGGATCTCAAGAAACGTAAATAGGGCTACGTTTTCAGAATGATCCTATGTTGTTTAAGTGTGCATTAAAGAAGATTTCAAAAATGCTTTCGATCACAGTGTTAGATTGAGCCCCAAAACATGCAGCCAATCAGCAGTAAAGGGTGTATCTAGAAATATTAACAAATATATTAAAAAGGGGCAGGTTATTATGGGTTATGGGCATGTTTATGTTGGTGATTTCTAATTCACACATCAACATTAAATTAGCTTAGTGCACATTTTGTTTTGCTCTAAGAGATAAAATATACTGCACACTCTTCGCAATTTCTAGCTATTTTATAAATGTGTGTTTTCATCACATGCAGCAGAAGCAGAGATTGCCACAGTCAAATTTTATCAACTGCGACTAGGAGAATATATGAGCTGTAAATTTCCCTCTGAGATTGTTTTTAATTATTTATTTGACATAACAACTGACACAAGTGATGCACTCTGAGTTACACAGATTATTTTATCTTGACATCACTACAGGGAAATATTTATTAAAGATTTATTGATAAAGTCCTGGAAACATGGTTTGCTTGCATTGCTGAGTACAACAGTAATGTTTCAAGAAGCTGTTTTTCAGTGAACAGGTGTGCAAGTAATGATTGACATAAGATTTATTGATTTTTGACTTGAAATCTTTCTTAATATATTTACTGATATGCATTTGGAGGTGTAGATACTCACTCTGTCCCACTTTGAGGACCAGCTTCATCCCTCGCGTCACACAAACGCCTCCTCTCATGCTGTCGATACCTTCTTTGGTTCCATCAGAGGTAGCTTTGAGAAAGAGGCAGAAAAGAAACAACATCAACATTAATGTCAAGGTTTTTTCTTTTAGCATTTCCGATGATGTTTTAATGACGACTGACTGGAACTCTGCAATAAAACAGTGCTTTATGACTCTCTATTACTTCAGGTTGATGTGCAGCCACTCGCTCAACTATCAGGTATAACTGCATAACTGGCACTTTACACGAATGCAGAGCACATCGGGAGTCCCATTACTGTTTTATTAATCATCAGAGGCAAAAAATCCATGTTTTCCTTTTGTGATAACTATAAGATTTTCTGAATAAACCAACAAAACATAACCTATCATGAAGATAAGCAGGTTATAAATCAAATTTCTTTCTTTAAAACTGTAATTTTTCTCTGTCTTAACTATTACAAGAAGACGATTTTAATTTAAACAGATTGAAAAGCATTGTTATATCATATGTACTATATCATTAAATTAAATGTACACATTCTTAATAAATGTCTACTTCTATATCTTTAGGGTGAAATAACGTTCCATCATTCAGACTGCCAGACATGTTTATATACATTTTATGTAAATTAACAATTTGTTCTGACTTGTCAAAATATATAAAGCAGAAGAGCACCCAATCTTTGGCTGCTGTAATTATGAGCTTAAAAAAGGGTATGATGAGCTGCACTGTGCAATGCCCAGTGTGCTGGTTTCACTCTCCCTTCAGTCATAGACACTGTGGTGTGAAGTGGCTATTACACTGGATAAGCAATGTGTTTGGAAATCCATTCACTTGCATAGGGTGAAGTAAACAGACGCGCAACAGTTAAAGCTCAATATATCTCAACATTCTGCTCTGGGGATAGTCTGCTCATGTACAGATACAAATTTTTACATGAATCGCACATGCTCACCAGAAAACAAAAGATAGCTCAAATAACTGTTTGATAATAACAAGACCTTTATATCAAAATCCCTTCAAGAGAATAAAATGCTTTCAGTAATGTGATGTGATGTGATTTCTGTGTAGTTCCTAATGCTTGCAACAGCACTACTATGCTGTCATGGCAACGCTAGTAAAACAAATGTCTCTCCACACATTCTTTCTCAATAAAATTTTACTGTCAAAAAAATGGTCATAATGGAACCAATGGCTGCTATGGGCGCTATGACAAAATGTTTTTGTTGGGGCCTCAAAGTGCATGGGTCCTTAGAAGTGTCTTAACTTTCTCCCCCCAGCGGTGCCCCTGTGTTTCTGTATTTTAAAATCAGTATAATTCATCATTTAATACAAAGCATTTTTGGTTTCAGCCCAGATTCATTTTGATGCATTCCTAATATAAAGTACTAAATGATCATACTAAATTTGCATAATTTTTACAAAATAAAATAAATAGGACTCATTGCAATAATTTGGGGAGGGGGGGGGTTGGTGCATTCATGGATCTCAACCTTTTTTAAACATTTCTAGATTAGATATTTACTTGATGTCTGTATTTATGAAATGAAATCTGATTATTTTTCTGAAAGGGTTGCAAAATCCACAAACCTGATAAACTGAACAGAAAACAAACAGCTCATGTAATATTTACTCTGACCTTCTGAGGTAGACAATTTCTGAAGGTTGAGCACTGCTTTCACTCAGCATCCATTCAAAAGAGAAATGCCCATGTAATAAATGTCGTAGCAACTTTTGTACAGAACTGTTTACATTCAGGTTAATGAAGTTCAAATTAATAACACTTTAATTTAGTTGGTTTTGCCACACAAAATATATGTAAAAAATATTGCAGTCAATTATTTAAAAATGTTAACTGAATTCACAGCATGAAATGCTGATAAATCAAATAAACAATTCTTAGAAAAAGGAAAGATTATTTATGAAATTAAATATTGTTTTTAAATGTAAAAATATGTATCAGTATGTGTGTGGTTTATTTCTAAGTCTAAGTTCTAGTTTTTGGAGTTTTCCATTCTGACTAAAGTAATGCTGTATGCCAGCTTGCTTGGGTTCTTTCTAGCATTGCTTCTTGTCTATTTAGTTCTTGCTTGTCTCCAGGCTGCTTTGTATATAGGAAACTGTCTCTCAGGAATAACAGAGACTCAACTATGTTGCCTTTTAACCATGTATACAATCATCCCTCAAAACACAAACACACACGTACACACACACACACGCAGTCTCTGAAACACTTCGCCATCGCATCTTACAGCCTTCACATTACTAAATATTTCATAGGTCAGGCGCCTCTCTGAAAAACTCAGTACTTCATCCATGTATGTCTGAATAACTCAGCATCCACGCACTGAATACTGCATTCAAACAATCAAACTGTACAAAGAGCTTCATCTTCAAACTTATTTTCCTTGGCAAATATAAAGCCCACTCATGAGGCGATATTGAATTCTCCATCGCTGAAACACTTTGCATTCGAACCATTCAATATTTCATTAAACGTCTGAATGACACGCCGTGGCTAATCTGCAGCGGCGCTTGTGTACAAAGACTCTTCCCTTCCGAAATATCTTCTGATTATTACGTTCTTAGGAAAACATTACGGCAGGCGGCTGAAAAGCACATGCCAACCGTGGTGCCAGTAAACATTCAATAGCTTTTCTGCTTGAGGGAAACTGTTGTATTTTATGATAAAAAGGAACCAAGGCTGAGGTGGGCTATGAATTTGCCGCTTGGTTAATGAATTTGAAGATTAATTTAGCCAGGCAATGATGTTTTCCCACAGATTTAGGATTTGTGAGGGATGGTTTGGATTTGGGACAAATGAAACTCTATCGACAACATCTGTGACATGCCTTCTGTCATAGAAAGTCCTTTAGAGTCTTCCTGTGCGAAAAAAAAATGTTAACAACAATGCATTTACAGTGGAAGTCTAAAGCACTTGAAAAGTTTAATAGCAGAAATGTCAAGCTCATTTTGATGTTACAATGCTTATATAAATTCTTGTTGTCTATGTGAGTTGTGTCCTGACATACTTTATTGAAAAGTTTGAATAATCCAGTGAACTATTGTGAAATATTATGCAATTTAAAACAACAGTTTTCTATGTTAATACACTTTTAAATGCAAACTGTTCATTTGATGGAAAAGCTAAATTTTCAGGGTCACATAATCTTTATCTAGTGCTTAAGAAACATTAATCGTATTATTTTAAATTAGCTGATAATAAGCTACAGCATTTATTTTACATAGACATTATTTATACTCTTTTAAAACTCTTTAGTGTCACTTTGGATCGATTTATTTAAATCTATATATTTATTGTATAACTCACCCACAATTTTATTTTGTCATACAATATGTAACATTTTCTTTTAAGAAGAACATTAACCAAGATGTTTAGCTGAAAACGAGGTCATAGGTGATTAGTAAAATGCAAGGCATTTGCTAACGGTTCATTGAGAGAATGAAGAAACCCATACAGGCAAAACAAAATGAAAACCTGTGGCTTCGGATGGTACATTGAAGTGTTATCAAGGTATCCATAACCCTGGACCAATCCGTACCCCAAGCTGATGCTGTGGTGGTCATGGAAGAATAGAGTGCTGCATGAGACTGATTCCTAAAAAGACCACAATGATAAACAAGTGACCGCACTGATCCTGTGTGCCAGCCTGACCACCTGCCAGTGTCCTACTCAAACCTGCAGTTCTCCACGATAGACGTCCAGCTTCTCAAGCCTCTGGCGCCTCGACTGCAGCTCCACACAGGAAGTTTGGCCAGAAGAATAATGGTCGTGCCCAACAGAGCCTGGTTTCTCTTCAGGTTTATTTTCCCTTCACTTCGTCAATTGGGGATGTTTTTTTTCTCGCCACTGTCACCACTGGCTTGCTCGGATCCAACTTGTGGAGCTGCGCATCAATAGGTGTGCTCTTCAGTGTTTAAGCTTTCAGCAGTGAAATTGAAACCATATTGAACTAAACTAAATTGAACTTTAACTCTGAATTGTTGACTTTACTAGGACTTTGTTAAGCTGCTTTGACACAATCTACATTGTAAAAAGTGCTACATAAATAAACCTGAATTGAATTGTTATGAAGCTAAACAATCTCTCTGTGCAAGAAAATAACATTTATAATAACACATTATCATTACCTTGTAATCTGTGGATCGTTAACGTTAAGCTTACACTTTCAAAAGTGCTAGTAGTTTTTGACTGGCATTTTTAGAATCACCAATAACTGTAGTTTCAGCTAAAAATATTCTTTATTGTCCCTTGAAGAAAAAAAAAAAAGTCACCTACATTTTTCATGGCCTGAGGGTGAGTTAGGGCTGCTCTAAATGATATTATATTGCATTGCGATAAAATTTATGTTAATAACAATGATAAGCTCTAAACTTTCTTTTACTCTATGTTCACCTAAGAGCCAATCACACTGCAGAAATTTGCAACAATGTAAATCTAAAAGTGAGAGGTACCGATTTTTCAGCCTCTGGAAATTTATCGGCCGAAATGTTAAGCATGTTTGTGGCTTCAGTCATTGTTAGGGGTACTCTTTTAAATCTAAACTTATATCAAAATATATATTGTTATCATTCAATATGGAAAATAAAAATCGAGATTGCATTTTTGCCATATTGCCTAGCCCTAGGGTCAGTTAATTAAATACACATTTTTTTAGGCAAACTATTTTGCCTGCGCACTGCTTCAGACAACACGTCTGCTGTTTCATTTTGTGTCATCACAACATACTGTTTCGGTCGTGTTGTTTTGGTGATAATCTTCTTTTGGCCAAAAATGGCACTTTTCGGTGGCATCCCTATTAGATAGTAATGTTAGTCATATGTCAAAGTTTTACTACTACATTAAAAACTGCTACAATAATAAAGAAAACTCTTTTTTTCATGTATTCTATTTAATTAATGCAACATTAAATTAAAACAAATGTAGGTACACTTTTACATTCACATACACATATACAGAGTTCAAGTGCTGTCAGTTTTAGAAGTTTGTTTTTTTAATTAGCATTTTTTCACTTTAAAGTCAACGAAAAATAATCTATTATGACA